AAAATCAGAGTCCAAACTTCAAAAATATCGGAGCATTGTTAGTATTCAGCTTCCTACTGTGCACATTGATCCAGCCTCAGCAGTGTGTTTCACTCTTACGTAAGCCGGTAACACGAAGCAGACTTATTAATGATTAACCCCAAGGAAAATATTTGTGTCTGTCTATTCAAGTTGTTAACCAAAACAGGTAGGCTCTGCTCTTTTTAGACAATCAGGAGAAATGAGAGAATCACACACAAGAAAAGAACAGAACACAAAACAGGAACTGGAGCTGTAATATCAAAACACACAGTTTGAATGTTTGACATGAACCTCAGCAAAAACAGCTTCAAGATCTCCTTTAATAAACCAAATAATAATAATTATAAATAAATAATTAATAACTATACTTGCCCAGGCAAGATACCTATTATATGATAAAGATCCTTAGTTTGTTTTGGACTCAAGAGAGGAGAAGTGGGTGGATTCTGGTCTGTTTCTGTTGTGAGTGGTGTTTCAGGGATGACTCAACCCCAGAGGATCTGGGTTGCATATCTGCCTCAGCAGTGGTAGAAAAAGTACTTTGAAACGGTACTTAAGTACAAGTACAAATAAACACTCTAGTTAAAGTATCACATTAAAATTTGTACTTAAGTAAAAGTAATAAAGTACTTGCTCTTAGAAATTGGTAAAGTATTAAAAGTATTTTCTTTTCTTTGCAACTTTTATGTTTGTCTCCGGTTCAACGCACCAGAATCCAATAATTTGACAATAGATAGAACTCTAAGAATTTCCTGCATCATTCAGAAAAGTAAAAATTCCAGGACATGAAACATCAAGGAGAGTGTTCCCCATTTCTGGATCCAGGTTCCTTCCTTTTGGTAGCAGTTGCAATGGGAGCAAGATATTGTTGGATATGAGTGATGTGAATTTCAGTCAGAATTTTTACAAATTGGAAAACACTTTACAGAATCAAATTAAGCATTAACAGCTAAGGACATAAATCATGATAATAATTTTGGACATTGAGGATCATTATCCATGTTTCATCCCAAAGGCCCAGATCTCCACAATTAAAAGTCATAATGGCTGACTAATCAGAACACACATTTCTCTGAGTTTCAGAACTTACAGAGCAGGGCTGGCGAGGAAAGTCTCCCTATGTGTGGGCTGCATGGAAGAAAGAAAACCTCTCCTTTACTGTGAGCATGCCATGCTAAGCTGCCACTGGATGAAAACTCAAACCTTCCAAAATGGACAGAGTTATAACTGAGGGACAAATTCTAATTGAACAAAATGTCTTTTGATGATTTTGATCATTTCATGTGTTTACTGATGAGTATAGACAAACCTAACAGGATGGATTGCATGGTACGCTATGCTACAGTGATATCTTTTGAGCTGTTGTTGAAGCTTGGACAAGTATTATTTCACTAAGGGTTTAAACACTGATATATTGTTAGTTTTGATATGTTTATCATGCGCTCATTACATTCCGATGATAAAATTATGACCAAAAGTAATTTAATGCAATCCTCATGTCTATTCGCTACTAGCTCATTCAAACAGGGTAAAGAATCATTTAACTAAAGGTTATTTGTTCCCGATTAAGCAAATCAATAAAACATTACTTGGCCAAATAATGTTTTATTCACCTCATGGATTTGCATTGTCAATTGGATTGAAAACATCTAAATCACTCTAAATTAATGAAAAGTTAATTTGATCACGTCCCAAACTCTTCAAGATAAACTGTGGTTTCAAAACACAACATTTCTTCTTAAACTGTGTTCAACCATATTTTCCATTCGTCTTTGAAAATAATAGTTTAGTCTAGTTCACTAGTTTTTAGTCAAAAATGTTTAACTGTAATATGTTTCACTTGGATCTGAATGATTTGTGTTAGTAAACTCTATTTTTAATGGAAGTTGTGGTGAATTTTTTCGGCATATGTGTAGAATTACCTGTTTGACCATGATTTGAGCTCGAGTCACTCATTTATTGGTCTAACACACAGACAGTATGGCATGTGTTCAAAGACAATTTATGAAAGTCCGAATAACATCTGATTAAATAAGATATTTACCATCCCCACTGAGTTGGGCAATAAACATCTTAAAGTATCAAAACACTCATGTGCTACCCAGCCTTTTTGTTAAGGTCAAGTGTAGTATCTTTTCTTATCAGTTTAACATTTGATATGTCCCCTGTCCGAGGACCATATATTAAATTGCTTTTTGGAAAAGTGAGATGGAAAAAGGGCTTGCTCTGCCCACTCTATGCATCAACCTGGTATTGCAGTACTTTAGGGAGTGGCGGCCTAGGGGTTAGGGTATTGTGCTTGGAATCCAGAGATTCTGATTTCAAGCCCCACTCCCACAGACTGCCACTCTGGGTCCTTTAGCAAAGACCCTTAACCCAACACTGCTCCTCCAGCGCCACACAATGGCAGCCCACTGCTCCCCAGGGGAAAGGTTAAATCCAGAGAGTTTATTTTGTTGCTTTGTACTTGTTACAGTGTAATGACAATACAAAGCTGAAAATTCTAATATATATTTAATTTGAAATGACTGTAGAGTAAAATGGCTTCTAGCCTCTCAAGCAACTAAGAAATACCTTTATACCTTTAAGTGTAAATAAATTTACACTTAAAGGTATGAAGGACGATCTTTTACTTCCAGGTGGATCATCTAAATAAGTGGTCGTCCTAATTTTCAATCATTCTGGTGATATGTTTACGTAAGGCCATTCTACATGCTCATCCCGTTAGCTGTCTTTTTTGTGCATGCGCACTTTAAGCCGTATATCTGTGTGAAGGAACGGTTTCAGACAATTATTGAAGGTCACATTTCTTACCGCGGCTCTTTGAAAATGGCAGAGGGTCGTAAGAGAAAAGTGTCTACGAAGTGCATGTGAAGAAAAGAAACGACTCAGAAGAGGTAGATATATCCCAGAATGCTTTGTGCTGAGATCTCTTTGCTGTCCCAGAAGCCTGCTGTCGCTATTAGACAGCAGCAACTAATAACAGAGATGGTGCAGGCACCGTGCAGTGAAGGAGGAGTTAGGTGACCAA